CCGCAGACATGCCGCTGTGCCACTGGGGGGCTCATTTATAAATATCGTATTCTTATTTAAATTATACAGTCCATAAAGCTTCTCAATTTGTAACTTTCATGAATTGTTTTCCAGATTTTGACATCGTCGTAATGACGAGCACCTATTAGTATACCTCTAAATTAATACACGTTGAGAATATAAATTACAAAGTATGAAACTTTATGTGTGTCAGCACAACAAGATGTTTCCTACTGCTGTAAGCTATCTTTTCAATGTTAGATGTTTTTATTAATCTAAAAAATACAAAAAAAACTCAGTATCAAGGCCTTTCTACCCATTGGATATAGCGTCTTACTATTATCGACAGTAGAGAAATAATACACTGCCCTCTATAGACCATAATTCCATAGCTGTGATAAACACTACATGAAATATAATAAAAAGTGTCATTTTGAGGAAAGTATATAGATAAAAAATACTTAACCAGATGTACTTAAAGTTAATGTCGTTGTCGATTAAGTACAACTGTATATGCCCGCCAAATCTTTTTAGACTATAACTTAACTTATTTACTATAAAAATTCGAAATTATTTACCTGTTTTAGACCTAAATCGTTTTAAAGGCCTGAGACTCTTGATGGTTTCTCCTTCACCAGTGGTCAGTCCATTAAGATGTGTAAGCGTTCCTAATGTGGACAATGCCCTAAAATTTGAATAATCGGAAACGGGACGAGTCTCCCCGACTGAACCCCCTTTAGATTTTTGGGGTGGTTGAGAAAGCAACGACAATTGTTGAGGTGTAACAGGACTATGTCGGTTTCGATCTCTGCTGACTGTAGGTATAGGGCGAGCTAAGTCGAAGACATTGTTAAAAAAGTGAATGTCAAAAAATGTTAATATTAAATTGAACATGTAAAAAGAAGGAACACTGAAAAATTGGAGTGACAGTGTCATGAGATAAAAGACTGTTTCGTGTAGATATTATTGATTAATTTATTTTGTGAGTGAATATTTTATGATTGTTTAGTTTTATTCATAGCAAGAGAGTTAGAAGCAATTATTTTAAAGTAAACGTTATGACAAGTTTAGTTACTTAAACTGGTAAGAGTCGTGCGTTGTGTTTATAAGTCATTGATGTCGAGATTATAGAACGTCGCGTGAAATTTATTGATGCTGAGGATATAGCGGGCAGACGATTAATAATAAACATATAAATAGTGTGAGATGAACAGGAAAAGTAAACAGACAGAGCAGACGAGAAGCAAAGTAAAATCACGAGCAGGAATTCAGCCAAAGAAAGGTTAAATGTAAAGTTAATCGTCGTAGGAGTGGAAGGCCTAACAGTTGATATATTGGAATGAGATTAACGGTGTTGAAAGAGATAAGAATAATAGTTTGGCTTGTCAACTGAAATTCTAAAGCTATTGAATAGGCCTAAGCGGATTTTTGACAAGAAGAAGAGAACTATATATGTAGTGTTTAATGATATGCCTATAATATCTATATAATGTAATTAATTTGTTGTATGTACGTTTAACTAGTTCCGAATATATTTTATTTTGAAAACAAGTGGAGTAAGTGCTGTTCGCTTATTTTTGAATTTATCGCCAACAAGTTACAGACACCTACTGTAGAAGAATCCTAAGCCAAACAACAACAACAACACTGTATATATTTATACTATTAAGAAGTATAAGTAAAATCCTTTAACTGACAGTATAGGCGGAGTTACGTAGGAACTGGTACATTTCTCCATGGTCGTTAGTACAACCGGATATCGTTGTGTGTCAGAAACATATTACTAATTGTGTCATAGTGGTAATAGATTTTTTTATTTTAGAGACGCTGAACCTAATAGTTGTCTTAGAAAATACTAACATTTCTTATTTCTTTATGTGAATTATTGAGTTGACACGCCACCTCACAAGTCATCTTGTAAAGCTATTAGCTACCTTAGCACTGAGTAATAAGTAATTTTGTTTTAAGCATGTTACAGAATCTCAAATATATGATATTTTACCAAGAATTGAATCTAAAATACCACTAATAAAATTCTATATTCTAATTTTAAAATAACCCATAACCATTTAGATTATTTTAAGCAGTAAAAATAATCACATTCCGTAAAATTGTACGTAATAAAAAAGTAAAAATTACAGTTATTATTTTTTTTTCCAGTTTTGATTTTTTTCGCTACTCGATCACGAACACTGTTAAATGTATTAATATATTTCTCTTACGCAATACCATCTGGTGGCTCAAAGTTTGAGAGTTTATAATGCTAAAGCTCGAACTTTGTGGTTGCACGGCTCAGCCCATTATGCAGCTGATTGTGGTTGGCTGGTTTTTGAATTGAAGGTGTCTTTTCAACCAATAGTTTGTTATATATATCCACCTCAGGGATGTGTAAAGTGTTTGATATTTCGCATTCTTTAGGGTATCTTTCATTTAGAATTTCATTAACTCTAAATCTAGTCTAAGAAAACATGATGGACTTTTTTGAAATTATGTAATCAGTTTTCGACCATAATGGTTAAATTAGAAGTTTTTATAAAGGCAGTTAGTTATATGAATAACTGTTGCATAAAACAACCTCCAAGTGTTACGCTTTCTATTGAGATCACAGTTACGTGAACGTAGCTTAATAATCATAGGTGTCTAAATGTAGCCTAACCATCACGGGTGCCTGAATGTTGCCTACCAATCAAGGGTGCCTGAATGTAGCCTAACTATCACAGGTGCCTGAATGTAGCCTAACAATCACGGGTGCCTGAATGTAGCCTAACCATCACAGGTGTCTAAATGTAGCCTACCAATCACGGGTGCCTGAATGTAGCCTAACCATCACAGGTGTCTA